GGGTCAGACAACTTCTATATAAGTAGTTTTTCATGGTATCAGTAATTATTGAAAAAGTAGCATATTCAGCCTAGGTCGCTTAAGGCCATTTTTGAGGTGATAGTAAGTTGATTTTCCCCACACCCTCAAACGAGTGGGCCTCAAGATGCCACTGGATTGCACATAGTCTCGGCTCCAAAAGCCCACCCGGACTGGACTGGATTGCAATTTCGACCCGCTAGAACTGCTCCCACCAGCAACCCCAACACGATTCGAGCCCGCTTCGTGAGTGTCGTGGCAACGTTCATATCCCGCTCCACCAAATGGCCACGGCTGCAGATGCTCCATTTAATGCCAGCTAGCCCGTCCCAATTGGCAGTTCCAATGATGGGATTGCCAATTGGGTAAACTGTGTTTGCCGTTGCATTCGACGGTGTTACTTGTGTTTGATGTAAATAGTTTATGAGTCTGCCGCCTGGAACTCGTCTTGGCCTATTCCACACCTCCAGCAGAACTCGAAACCGGCTACGCCACCATTCTGCCACACAGCATTGAGAGCAGATGAGACCTTTAAAGTAAACCAGGCCTCCTCCTCCAATCAACGTTTATAATGGGCAAACTTGTATCCCCCAAAACGGCATGTGGAGGCTGAATATTTTATTTGCGAGATACGCAGTATTTAGATGACTACTCATTTGGGTGATAGTAGTGCTGTTGAGGATAGTGGCAAAAACGAGCCTACATAACCTACACTGATCCCATTATACAAGTGGGAATCGGCCTTAAACATCACATCCACTCGCGGCTGCCTAGCGAGTGGCAACGCATTGTCAGTCTACACCCACGACCCAGTATCCAGGCCTTCTACTTAGTTCATGCATACTCTTATTCATATGTCAACCTAAACTACTTTTGATGACTCAAGCTCGTATTCAATCACTACAACAATCAAACTCCAGACGGCTGTGAAACAAAAGCTGTTATTGATATCGAAATCAGTAGTATGTTGTGTTTAATGGCAAAAACACGACTGTCCATTGGTATAACATTTCGGCCTTCAAGAGGCCGAAACTATGAATTGTGTGGTTTCTAAGGGGACGTATTCGCCTCTCAGCCCAAACATCGTTGGCTCGAGTCCCACCCGAGGCCGGGCTGCAGCTGCAGTCTGTGTCGGACGAGAATGGTCCTGTGGGGAGCACAACGGAAAGAAATTCAACGCAAAAAGCCTTCACCATTGGCATGGAACCTGTAGGCCCCTTCCAAGATAACTGTCGAAATTCGCGCTTCTCTTCAATAGAACCTATAAGCCGGCCCCTCTTGTGTCTGACACCGGGTCCCTCGTGCACAAATTGGTGCACTTATTTGGCGTCAGTACGGCAATCACGAAGACGCCATACACCTCTACTTTTA